TATGTAGAATAGGTCATGCTCCTTTACAACCATATTGTCAATTAGTTCCTTCTGTAAGAAGTATTTGGAAAATTAGAAGTAAAATTGCCCATTTCCCTACCTGCTCCGAGCCATTTTGGCCAACATCTCAGTTTTAAATAATTTTTACCTATTCTAGCTTGCTATATAAAATCCTTTGCAATGGTGTGTAAGCCATTGAAAGAAACATAGAATTCCTGTCCTGCTCCCTACGGTTATCTTAATTAATTCGATTGGCATGAGTACATTTGCACCTGAGTCTGTGATGACATAGGCATGTCCACATCTGCAGAAACCCTGATTCAAATGTGCGAACGATCAATGAGCTTCATATAGCAGTAAAAAGAAACTTCTTAAGTATTTGTTTAAAAAGCCTTTTCTTCTTCAGCGAATGTTCTGCAACAAAAATTCTGACACATAAGCATGAATAGTTTATTTGATGACATATGAGCAAGCTAGCCATGGCTCGATTCAAAATCTAGCGGGTTAAAAACTGTAACGTACTAGACTCTCTTTAGATTCGGAAAAAAAAGGAATTCGGACTTGTTGTTGCGCACTTACTTCTTATGCATTACTCTTTTAGAAAGCATCATATAGTTGATGAACAGTCAGGTGTCGTAGTGCACGAAAGCTTAAGTTGTGAAAATTAATATTTTGGGCATGGCACTTATCCCATGCGGTTCTCCTAACCTACTATCGCACATTTAATGAGACATTTCTAATGTAACCCATATATGGGCTACCTTCTAATCAACGCTACAATTCTAATGTCAAGAAATCTTTTACAAAATAGCAATATATGTACTATTGATATCTTGAGTGTATTTAGAACCTACCTCTGGGCTCCTTTACGACGATGTAAGAGTGTTTTGTTGGGTAGCAACTCATCCAAAAAATCACAAGACAAAGGCGCGAGCAGTGGCGGTAAATACTTCTTTAAAAGCGATCTTAAAACGCAATTAAGGCGACAATTTCTGAGAGTTAATTTAGGAGACTTGGGGTCCCTTATGCAATCAAATCGTGTTTGTCTCTAATGCTACAGACGACAGTTTACCAGTGATTGTTGTGAATTTGACAGAAAGTCGGAACGAGTTGTGGAGGAAAACGCGAGAAGCATTCAAATGGATTTATAATAACGTTCTGGTGCATTTTCTTAAAGTAAAATTACTTTAAAAGGATTTTGATTCTGTTTTCTGTTTTAGACAGACTACGACTGGTTTCTCAAAGCTGACGATGACACTTACATGCACATGGATAACCTTCGAGCATTATTGGTGGTGAATATAAATATCTGGAACTCTTTAGCGATCTCAGCGAGGAGGGAGAAAGATGAAAAGAATGAAGATTCTATAAGAGTTGACTAGATCTGTGAAAACCATCATGATCCTGACTATTCATGATTTCTTAATTAATTTTTTGCCTTCATTAGAGCCAAAACTATTCCAACATTTCTCTGATTTTCATACCTTTATGAAAAGGATTGGTTAAGTGCACTCCAATTTATAGGGTTACTCACCAGACGAACCCATTGCAATTGGTCACCAGTTCACGAAAGATTGCCCTGACTATCATAGCGGTGGTGCTGGATACGTTCTTAGCAAGGAGGCGGTTAGAAGGTAACTAATTCTAGTAAATTTCTGAGTAATAATAATCTGAAGTCATTTGATAGACTCCGAAAAAGTAGATGTCTTCAGGCTTGTAGGTGAAGGATTTGCCAAACTTACCAGCTGCAACAAAAGGAATCCTTTTGAAGACGTGTTTTTGGGGCTTTGCCTGAACAAAACTAACGTCACCATCACTGACGGAGCTGACGAAAATGGAGCCTATAGGTCAATTGGCATCATTATTGCCATTTCTTCGATATTGTTATTCAAGTTTTCAAGGGTAAAATCGAATCATTTTCACGTAGACTCACAGATGGCTTTATCATGCTCTACTCTTTCATTTTACGAATCTACAATGCGATCTACAATTCTGACATCAAGAAATAAGTGTTACGATGGCAACCCGAGTAAATCAATTCGACAAACAATTTACGATGTAACAAAAATATGTAATTAGGCTGTTTGAAATACTTGTAAGATAATTTTTAGGAGCAGTGTCAAAGCGCAATTTCGCCGCTCCGTATGTAGTTTCATCTTCTGAGCCTTACCTGCCGCTAGTGTATTGTCCATAGCAAACTAAACATGCTCCGTAATGCCTAGTTGCCGCCTTCGAAGCTGCTGCGTGAAACGAAGTTATCCGAGCGTTGCGCGTCTGCTCTGCGGACAATACAGCATCTGTCTGGCTCGCAAAAGACATACAATAATTTGCTTCTCTCTTCCTTAAACCTCAGCGTACCACGAAATGTTATACCTGATATTTTCGCCCAGAGATTTTATTGAAGCCTTACAAGGGATGGATGCGGAGTCGCAGTGGCGATCCGCCAAGAGATGTATACCATAAGCATCTCTATCAAAAAAGTATCCCAAATGTATTTTCCATATCTGCTGAACGACATTCTGGGAGGAGCTGCACGCGTTTTTTCCTGTTCTTCTTTCTTGTGAATACTTGTCTAGACGAACTATAGCAACAACGTCGAGCGAGTGGATGGCATAGTGGCAAGTCTCTTGCGCGTAACCTTTCATAACCGGGTCCGACTCCAGCGAGATCAGTTTGTTTTGACTACTTTTTATTGCTGAATGTGTGTGATGAGAACAATATGATGCATCTCTACCCTTTATTTACAAAAAATGTTGATTTAAAAGTTAGCTGAGCTTGATAAGTGC